TTTAGCCTTTATTTTACAATTAAAATATGTTTATCAAATAAAGTCTAATGTTACAACTAATTATGGATACTTTTAAATTAAATGGTGTCTTATCGGAGTCACATGTTTCCTTATAGTATATTAGAAGTGACCTGGACCTCATTTTTCTGAAGTCAGAACACAATCAGACCTGACTCTCGATGTAGGGTCTCCTACTGTGCTGATGTGACCCCAAACAAGCACCAAATAAACACAAACTACCGCTGACAGATTACAGATAATAATAAAGAGTCCTCCTTGGGAATATTATGAAGATATGTTTTTGACTAAAAGTTTTAAAGAACTGTCTTCTGGATAAAAATGCTTTGTCAGAATTCTATTGGACAAAATTGTTTGCAAAACATAACGTGGTGTGTTTAGTTTACACAGCTTTTCATAGGCATGTGGACCCTCTGTGGTCACTGTAAGCTTTAAACTTTAATAGCCACCATAGAAAACACTTTGTTTATTACCTTCTCCAGGGGTTGTCCTGGGTTGCTAATCTGTGAGGGATGGAGCTTGCCTTTGGCCACCAGCATAGCGTTAATTTTGGCCGCCACTGCAGCTGCAGCATCCAGAGCCCCAGTGGGAGCAGCCTCAGCCTCCCCCATCCCACCAGAGCCGGAGGACTCGTCCCATTTGCTGGGGCGCCTAAGAAGGCAGAAAAACACGGGGGGGTTATAATACGAGAAACGAAAAAGAGACTGAACTTTCCCTTCACGCTGTAAACTGACAGCTAAGTTATTGGAACTGACATCACAAACTATCCTTAAATTAAACGCATTCAAACCCGCAAGTTGTCTTTGAAACATGTATCTAGTGTAAGTGCAGGGTCCAAAACAGAATCCAGAACAGAACCAGTCATAAAGCACACCGTTATTATATAAGACGGCTAATATTAGCTGGCTAGCGTGCTAACTGAGTGCTACGTGTCAAATAACACAGAAAAATCTGTTGACGGTCAATTTTGAGCCCTACCCGCTGTTATGTGCTCCACAATATGACATTAATGTTCAGCCAAATAGAAACTGTTGTCTTAATGCAGAAATTAAACGCTGGTAAATCCCCCAGATTTCCTCACAGTTTCTTTAGTAGGTTTTGCTAGTAGCTTGCTAGCTACAGCTTAGTATTCTGTTTCCGCTTCCGGTTTGGTGTTGTGCCGAAAAACGTATTCCTGTCGTGAAGGACGCATCCGTCGTTGGAAGCTTATGCGATAAATAAATAAATAAATAAATAAATAACCTTTTACTCACAAATGCAGTTTCACACAATCTCGTCCAATTAAGAAAACATTGAAAAAGGAGTTTGCAGTATTTGTTAATCTTTTAAAAAATTAATAAAGCACCTGCAATGAACTGTACAAATTTATTTCAGAATTTAAGCTGATTTAAACCCATGTTTATTTCATCATTGTTTTGTTTTTATTTATTTTCCCTTAGTTTAAATATTTGTTGTTAATATTGTTGAGGTTTTAATTTAATTTAATTGTTTTACTTACTTCTACTAAATATTTCTAAGTCAGTTGATTGACTTAGTTAATATTCATGGTAATTTCTTAAAGTTTTATAAGGAGGAATTTTTAGAATAGATAATTTAGAAAGATATTTTAATGTGAAAGGTCGTTAAC